TATTTATCTGTTCAGTCTTCGGATGGTCCATGCAAAGAGAACATAAAACTTGGGCTGGAGCTGTGGCTTGATGTTACGGTGCCTGCCTGGTAAGCTCAAGACTCTGGATCTCAAAGAGAGAGAACATAAGATTTCACTGGAGAAAAAAACAGGTTATACACCAACATTTTATGATACCTTAGCTTTATCTAGTATTTTGTTTTTGTTGTTGTTGTACTGGTCTTGGGGCTTGAACTCAGGGCCTGGGCGCTGTCCCTGAACTGCTTCTGCTCAAGGCAAGTGCTCTGCCACTTTGAGGCACAGCACCACTTCCAGTTTTCGGGTGGTTCATTGGAGATAAGAGTCTCACAGACCTTCTTGCCTGGGCCGGCTTTGAACTGTGATCCTCAGATCTCAGCCTCCTGTGTAGCTAGGATGACAGGCGTGAGCCACCAGCACCTGGCCACTTTCAGCTATTTTGGTGATTACTTGGAAATAACAGTCTCATGGATTTTCCTGCCGAGGCTGGCTTGGAACCCAAATCCTCAAATCTCAGCCTCCTGAGTAGTTAGGATTCTAAGTGTGAGCCGGGCGTCAGTGACTTCCTAGCTACTTAGGAGGCTGAGATCTGAAGATTGAGGTTCAAAGCCAGCTCAGGCAAGAAAGTCCGTGAGACTCTGATCTCCAGTTAATCATCAGAAAACCAGAAGTGGCGTTGTGGTAGAGCGCTAGCCTTAAGCTGAAGAGCTGAGGGACAGTGCCCAGGCCCAGAGTGCAAGCCCCAGGACGCTGGGCTCCCGCGTTCGTTTTGATGCTTTTGATTTGCCCGCAGGGAAGAAAGGAACCAGACCCAGGTGCTGAGGCAGCAGCAGGACGAGGCCTACCTGGCCTCTCTCAGGGCTGACCAGGAGAAAGAAAGGAAGAAGCGAGAGGAGCGGGAGCGGAAGAGGCGGAAGGAGGAGGAGGTGCAGCAGCAGAAGCTGGCGGAGGAGAGGCGGCGGCAGGTGATGGGTGGGGCCTTGCGCCCCGTGAGTCATGACTCCTGACCTGGAGCCTGTGTGGGAAGGGACTGTGGGCAGCTTCTGCTTTTCCTGCCTTGTGCATTCTTAGTATTAGCTGATACCAAGCTGGCATGGTCTTCCCTTTGTGATCTCCCCCGCATTCGAGCCCTGGCCTCATCTTTGTGTTGTGTCTCCACAGAATCTACAGGAGGAGAAGGAAAGGAAGTTGGAGTGCCTGCCTCCTGAGCCCTCCCCTGACGACCCTGAAAGCGTCAAGATCATCTTCAAATTACCCAATGATTCTCGAGTAGAGAGACGATTCCACTTTTCACAGTCTCTAACAGTAAGGATCGCATGGGGTGCACGTGCGTGTGGTAGCGTCTGGGCTGGAGGTGTGTGGCAGCTTGTCAGACTCCACAGTGTTGAACAGGAGGCATCCCAGAGAGATGGGGTCAGATGTCGGGGGATCCTAGGAAGGATGCCGTGAGCTGCCACAGGTTCCTTCAGGCTGGGCTGTCACATCAAAGCCAGTTTTTTGTTTGTTTTGTTTTGTGCCCCAACTGGGGCTTGAACTCAGGGCCTGGGTACTGTCCCTTAGCTATTTTGCTCTACCACTTGACCAACAGCCCACGTCCCACTTTTTGGTGGTTAGTTGGAGATAAGAGCCTGCCCAGGCTGGCTTTGAACCACGATCCTCAGATCTCAGCCTCCTGAGTAGCCAGGATGACAGGTGGGAGCCACCAGCGCCTGGTGTTTTCACAGTTTTCTTCTATCATAACGTTTGAATCCTGCTAAGAAAGCACATACCTTACAAAGAAGTTCCCCAAGAGCGTTTGTGCTTCCGAGCCCCTTGATCTGCAGAGAGAGCACAAAGTGATGTCGAACAGAAGAGCAGATGCGGTGGGACTATTGTTCTCTCCTCTGCCCATGTTGCACAGAAGAAACCCCACATCCTGAGGGTCCCTCGTGCACTTGAACGCACACAACAGTGCTTGTCATTCACATAGCAATAGACTCAGACTCTTACAGAAAGAAGACCAGTTTCTCATTCGTTCAGCCTGGATGGAGATCTTCCTGTTTTATGCATCTCCATATTGCTGGAATTTCAGGTACATATTACCATATAGCTGAGATTACACAAGTCAGCTGCTATTACTGGCTTATTTGCTGAGACAGGGAATCTCACTTTTAGCCTTGGGCTGGCCTTGAACCAAGAGCTCCCTCATTTCTCTGCCTCCTGAGTAGCTGGGATTACAGGCATGAGTCATTGTACCCAGCTCTGATTTCTTATTTATTTAGTTGTTTATTTCTGTCAGTCCTGGGACTTGAACTCTGGGCTTGGGTGCTGTCCCTCAGCTCTTCAGCTCAAGGCTAGTGCTCTGCTATTTGAGCCACAGCGCCACTTCTGGCTTTTTCTGTATATGTGGTACTGAGGAATCGAACCTAGGGCTTCATGTATGCTAGGCAAGCGCTCTACCACTGAGCCACCTTCCCAGCCCTGCTTTTTGTTTTTGTTTTTGTTTTTTTTTTATTTTGCTGGTCATGGGGCCTGAATTCTAGGCCTGGGCACTGTCCCTCAGCTCTTCAGCTCAAGGCTAGCGCTTTACCACTGGAGCCACAGCACCACTTCCAGCTTTTTCTGTTTATGTGGTGCTGAGGAATCGAACCCAGGGCCTCATGTTTGCAAGGCATGCACTCTACCGCTGAGCCACCTTCCCAGCCCCTTGTTTTTTTTTTTTTTTTTTTAACCATGCCATTTTACCCCCTCAAGAGCTGATCTCATCTGCAACTTCTTCCCTTGTTGAAGTGATGCTTCAAAGACTGAGCTCATGGGAAGATGACACAGGCTGGAGTATGCAAATGCTAAAATCCACTTTGTCATTTTTTTCCTGGGTTGTTCAAGACCAGGGCAGCACTGTGCTTGCTTTTTTTTTTTTTTTTTTAAGGTCATGGGGCTTGAACTCTAGGCCTCCGTGCTCCCCCTGATCTTCCCCCCTCCCCACCATAGGCTAGGGCTCTACCACTTTGAGCCACAGTACCTCTTCTAGTTTGGGGGTGGTTTATTGGTGATAAGAATCTCATGGCCTTTCCTGCTCAGGCTGACTTGGAACTGCAGAACTCAGCCTCCTGAGTAGTAGCCAGGATGATTTCCTGTCTCAGCCTCAGACAGTCATCATAGGGATTTTGTTTGGTTTTAAAGAATTCATGGTTATAACCCTAGCTACTTAGGATTAGCTAGTTTATTGTCAACTAGCCAGGCAAAAGAAGGTAGAAATGTGCCTCCCATGGTGAAGCATCTGCCCTGAGCAAAAAAAGCAGAGAGAGAGTGAAAGGCCCTGTGAATTCAAGCCCCAGTACACCCCCCCAAAAAACAAAAACCACACAAAAGACAACTGGCCCATTTTGAATGGAGTGGAAATCACAAGAGCCTGCAGCCCTCCATATCATGAGCTCACATCCACAGATCAGAAATACTGGGAAAACATTAGCATCAGGATTTCTCATTATTCCCTAAATACTGCAGTGCAGGTGTTAAGTATGAGACAAAATGGAAACCTGGTTTAAAGGATGCAGGTGTGTGCTCTGCCACTTGAGACGAGGGACTTGTGCATCTATGGATCTGTGGATCTCCAGAGGTGTTTCTGCAACCAACTGCATGGATGCTGTGGGAATGACTGTTTATTGTATTGTGGAAATAACTTAGTGCTTACCTCTGCTGACTTCAGTGTTAAGTAGAAAGCTACGTCACTACCATGAGTGTTCAGGAGGCGTGGAACTCAGAATGGCTGCTTACCTACATCTGGTCTAAGAAAAAGCTTCAATGCCCTGCACTTCCAGCCCTTCTGGAAGTTTGTGATTATTTCTTTTTGTCGTTTATGGTGGTGGTCGTGAGGCTTGAACTCTGGGCCTGGGCGCTAGCCTCAGCTCTTCAGCTCAAGGTGAGCGCTCTACCACTTGAGCCACAGTACCACTTCTGGTTTCCTAGTGGTTCATTGGAGATAAGAGTGCCATGGACTTTCCTGCCTTTGGCTGGCTTTGAACTGCGGTCCTCAGATCTCAGCCTCCTGAGTAGCTAGGATTGCAGGCGTGAGCCACTGGCACCCAACCTTTGTGATTATTTCTGTGTGAAAACATTTATCCAGGTGCTAGGAGCTCACCTGTCATCCTAGCTACTATTCATGAGGCTGAGATCTGAGGATCATGTGATTTGAAGCCAGCCTGGGCAGGAAAGTCTGTGAGACTCTTATTGCCAATTAACCAGCAAAAAGCCAGAAGTGGAGCTGTGGCTCAAGTGGTAGAGTGCTAGCTAGCTTTGAGCACAAAAGTTCAGGGACGGTGCCCAGTTCAACTACCAAGACTGATTACCCCCCACCCCCCCAAAAAAAGCACATTATCAGAGAGTTGGAGTCGCGGCGGGCTTGTGATTCCTTTAAGCATGCCAGTAGGGTTCGCGTCTTCTCCACGTCAGCCGTCCTGGGGGACCTGGGGTACACAGCCATCTCACTGCCATTCTCTTTTCTCCACACGACCTCTGCAGGTGATCCACGACTTCTTATTCTCCTTGAAGGAAAGCCCAGAGAAGTTTCAGATTGAAGCCAACTTTCCCAGGCGGGTGCTGCCGTGCGTCCCTTCGGAGGAGCTGCCCAACCCGCCCACGCTGCAGGAGGCGGGACTCAGCCACACAGAAGTTCTCTTTGTTCAGGACCTAACAGACGAATGACATTTGTCATCCCCCCCCCACCCCCCCGCCCCACCCCCTAAAGGAAATGGAAAGAGAGAGAGAGAGAAATTCCTATTATTATTATAATACAATATTTTTTTTAAAAGACTGCTGCATCCTAAGGAAGGATGAGAAACCATGTCACCTGCGAGTCATCGTGTGCGTGTGTGTGCGTGCGTGTGCGTGCGCGTGTGTGTGTGCGTGTGCGTGTGTGTGTGTGGTTAGCCATGAACGCACCCTCGCTCGGCAAAGCTCGCTTCACCCTTCCAACAGCCTCTGCACCACGCAGCCTCCAGCCAGCGGACGCCCGTCCAGCCACCGGTGTCCCACTGGGGAAGGGGACATTCCCACTTGTTCTCATTCATTCTTGCTTTTATGGAGAATAAATGTGAAAGCGTCCAGCCGGCAGCTCCAGCCCCATCTCCTGAAGACTACCTCCTTCTCCCGAGAAGCCTCGGGAGGAGGGGGGAGAGCAGAGAGACGTTCCTTGAACTGGTTTCTGGATCACTTTTCCTTGTTTCTGTTGCTTTCTGATGACCAAAGGAATGAGGCTGTCATGGATGTATTTCTTTTCTTCTTCTTTATTTGATAAAGAGCCAATTCTTAAAAGCCGTGAGTTCGTGCCCTGGGCTCCTTAGCCCACAGTAGCGTAATAAAGGTGCCTGGGCTGCTTTGTGCTTCTTTCGGCCATTGTCCCTCTCCTGCCCCCTCAACTGAGGGCGTTGGTTTTGGTCCAACCTGCTGTCCTTTCTTCCCACCTGTGCACCTCACTAAAACCTGAAGGGGTCTGAAGCAAAGGATGGCAGTTCTTCATTCCTCTTTTAGCTGCTTCAGTGTTCCCGAATTGCCAAGCCTAGTGCCTTTCCACGGACAGGGCCTGTGGTGGAGCCTCTGTGGGAGGCCCTAGTGTTTTTAAGGCTGGGAACTCCCAGGCCCCGGGCAGTACGTGCAGGCTGGGCACACACCTGCTGGAGGTTCTAGCCTCCCTGGGCTGCTGTGTTCAAGTAGCAGATGCTGTTGAGTTCCTGGAAGTGGGAACATAGATAGCCACAGTGCACTGATAAACGTATTTCCAAGTGTTTGGTGGCTGATCTGCAAGGCTTCAGAACTATAGCACGCTGTTCAAGCAGGAAGGTCAGGTCAGGGTAAAGCATGACTTACCTATCATCCTCCAAAGCTCCTTGGCTTGGTGCAAACCTAAGGACCTCTCTGCGAAGTAGTAATATTAGGCATAAGGCTTTGTGCAGCCCTCTGTTGGAGTAAGGGCCACGGGGCCGAGGGGAGGCCTGTGGATTTTTCCAGTGCCCTTGAACACCAGATCTGCAGCTATCCCAGCAAGCTTCGGAGAGGTGAACCTTGTTCTCCACTCAACCTAGGCAAAATTGGCTTCACCAACAAGCTGCAAGGAGTGTTTTATCCCTCCTGGGGCCTCCCTTCCTGTCCCAAGTCCCAGCTCTACCCGGGAGGGAGCTGGGGGCCTGCATTAGGCAGGGTGTACGAGTGTCCCACACCCAGGAAATGTAGCGATTTCTTCTCTAATAGCACGGTCTCTTCCAGTAATGTGCCCTTCTAGTTAATGCCTCTTCCAGTAACTAACGGTGGGACAGAGGATGTGAGATGCGACAAGGTTAAGACCAGGTCCCTCAGGAAAGATAACTCCTGAGCCCCCTGCCCATTTCCTGGAGGGTCCTCTCTGGTCCCTTTGAAACAGTTATTTCTGCTTTCCTTCAACTCCATCCATGCCTGCCTCCTCGCTAGCTTAGTGCCACCTCCAGGGTGCCAGTTCCCCCTCCCTCACAGGTGACACAGGGCTGCATGCATGTCACCATGCAAGTCCCATCTACGTGGCTCCTAAGGACCTCCAAGAGCTGCAAGGGAGAAACAAGCCGCATCTGCCAGGCTGTGCTGCAGTCTGCAGGTCACAGCTGGAACAGTCCAGCTGTGCATTCCAAAGGACACAGTGAGTGGAGCCATGTTAACTTTCGTTCCACGTGCCCAAGATTGACATAGATTCAACTGCAGCGCTGTGGGAAAACCATCATCATGCTGACACCCAAGATGGAGGTCAGCTGAACAACTAACTGTGCACTCTTCCTCAGCACGGCCCTTCTGGTCTTTTCCTCCTCCATCTGTAGGACTTCCTGCAACAAGTATTTCTCCTCGCTTGCCTCTACCGTGAGATTGGGGACAGATGGCAGAGGAGAAGGAATATCTGCCTCAAAAAGTGACTGAGCACCTAGGATCTTTTAACTGAGCAGTTATGATGCCCATTACTCATGGTGCCAAGGCTGAGGGGGAAAGAGTCTCGGAAGATGAGCTGTTGGATGCAGAGCATTTGCCTGGTGCTTGAACAAAAAGCTCGGGGCGCAGCCTCGAGAAGTTCACGCACCGCAGAAGTGGTGCCTCCACTCATACTGCACCCCAATAGTTACAGGATGATCACTTCCGGGTGTGGGGAAACAAACCTAGTGTAAATTCTTTTTTTCATAAAGGTTTACATTGTATTGTAGGTGAACATTAAATGTTTTATAACGAACAAAACCGCCACCATGTGGGTGTTTCTGTCTAGAGGAACGGGGACTGCGGGAAGGAGTCCAGGCAGAAGTGTTCCGGGGTCCCTGATGAGACATGGTTGCTTGGAAGGAGCCGAGTTCACGCAGGACCCACACCAGCTGTCACGTGTCACCAGAGGTGAGTTCGTGCAGGCCTCTGAGGCTAATGCTGTCTGCCCCAGGATCTACTTGGGACACTTAAAAGTAGCCACGTCACCAATGTCTGTTCCCTCCACCCCCCCAGGAATGGAAAGAGTTTGTCATCTGGTGATCGAATTCAACATGTTCGGGGCTTCTCCAACCCCCTGCCCCGACCTCCCCCTAAACTACCCATTTCTGGCGTAGTAGGCAGTGCTGGCTCAAACCTGTCACCCTAGCTTACTCAGGAGGCTGAGATCTGAGGATCATGGCTCCAGACCAGCCTTAGCAAGAAAGCCCATGACACTTGAGCATCTCCAATTAACCACCAAAAAGCCCGAAGTGGAGCTGTGGCTCAAACAGTAGGGCACCAGCCTTGAGCCAGAAAGCTAAGGGGCAGTGCCCTGGCACTGGGTTCAAGCACCAGTACTGGCACCCCCCAAAAATATATACATAGCTATTGGGTTCTTTGGGGAAAATGTGATTTTCTCCAGGGATGATGGCATTTTAGACCTCATTAGGACAGACCCAAGTCCCAGCTGCTAAAATAACCTACCTGTACGGATGCTGGGAATCGAACCCAGGGCCTGGCATCAGAGGAAAGCACTCTACCTCTGAGCCAGAGCCCAACCCTCAGAACCCCATGAGCCACGACCATTATTTCCCCCAAATTAGAGGAATCCTTTAATGTGCCAACAGTCTAGCTGAAGTGGCCACAAGATACATGACCTGACACCGGCCCCCTCCCCAAAGGAACCATGGGACTTTGCCAAGAAACCAAACCCCCAACAGTTCCATAGCAGAGAAACACATTATTCTGTCCCTCACACCTCCCTGTCTGAGCCCCAAATTCCAATGAAAGAAAGGCTCAACCAAAAGCAGCTTGGACAGCACTTGGTATACATCATACATTTATTAGTGAATATTCCCTCTGAAATCAGCAACAATATTAAAAAAAATAATGATTGCACTACTTGGTCAAGCAGAACTAGCAACTTTCATTTTAAAAAAAGTACAAATCTGTTAAAAATTTCAATCAGTATACACATATATATAATACAACAGACTAGTTAGTTAAATGCTACAAACCAATGTGAACCGCTGAAATGGAGGAAAAAAACCACACATTGAAGCTTTAAGAACCATTTTTTTTCTCTATATATTAGCATTTTTTTCTCAAATACATACATGGGGAAAAATGAGGTAACTGTAAAATGTGCAAGGAACAGGGCCCCCCGAAATTACATATATTCAATCTATATGTAATTATATATATAGAAAACCTTTCTAACACGGAACCCAGGCGCTGGGGCCCAGCCAGGGCTGGGGAGAGAGCGTGTCCCCGCCCGGCCATGCCTCGGCCAGAGGTTGATAAATCGTAAACAATGACAAGCCCCCCACCACGGGAAATCATTGGTCACATGGCATCTAGTATATAGCAAGGTCGCAAATCACAAACATCCTAAATAATTGCTTCATAAATCATTTTTTTGTTGCTTTTTTTTTTTTTTAATGATTTTGTTGTTGTTAAATGCTGTGTTTCCCCAACCCCTCCCCGCTAGCTGCTAGTTGAAATCCCATGTCTGCAAGCGGATATACAGTCCATGAGCCATTTTCCACCTGCCCGCCCTCCCCCACCCCACCCCAAACCCCCTTTGCCCCCCCCTCAGGAAGCATTAAGGATTTGAAAACCTTGTTGTTGTTGTTGGGGTGGAGGGGGGGAAGGGGGAGGATGGGGGGGGGGAAATCAGAGAAGATGGGTCTCTGTGTAAAACACGTGGGTTTTCAACACTGCTATAAATATAGAAACGTCACCTGGAGTTATATACAGTAAGACTTTGGGTTCTCCGTGGGATAGGCCCAGACTGCCGGGCCCTGTGGCAGGCAGGGGTGCTGGGGGGGGAGGGGGCAGGGGTGCTGCGGGCAGAACGAGGGTGCCTGGAGCAACCCTGAGGCAGCAGGAGCCCAGGGGGCTGCCTGCTAGGATGTGCCAGCCCCACACGCGGTTCGTTCATCAGGGCAGCAACCCCGAGGGGGGA